TTCTGTCCCAGTGGGCTTCAGGGCAAACAAACCAATACTATAATGGATCTGTTTAACTTACCAACTTCTACTAACTCTTTGTATCCCATTACACGCCCACCAAATCAAAAAAAAACGTTACCCTTTGACCCTGGAATAATTTTCGGAAAACTTTACTTCCTTTCTTGATTTTACACTTGTCTTGTTTCTCCTTCAGATAGTAAACAAAGGTTGCCGCCCTCCCTTTTTAAACTGGGAGGTTCAAAACATACCTTACCATTGTACTCTTACACATCCCCAGGGGTTTCACCCAACAACGTCCCGCGGCACCAGTCGCCCAAGGACCACACATGAGTAGCCCAGGCCACGGCCTGTATTCCTATTACAAATGACATATCATAATAATTATTGATATTATACTCTATCCCACCCTTGTTCAAAGTCATTTGTTGATAATATAATTGTGAGATCATATAACGTAACTCGTGTCTTCAACATAGCAATGATTATTAATATAATACGATGTAATGAATAGACAACCGCTCACGCTTGGGATAGACAGCGGTGAAGCCAAGCAACACTGAGGCAAGGCACCATATTTGTATTCTCATGACGCCAGAAGTTAATACCAAACTGGGTAAGCCCTCTTCGTAATGACTCAAGTACCCATGAAGTAAGCTCTTCAGTTTCTCAAAAAGGTTGGTGACCCCTGCTCTAAATCCTGCACACTGGTCCTTTAAGAATATTTCTATTTAATTAATTTAAAATGTCCCTCATGTCCGTCTCAGATTCTCATTATGGTGCTTAGATTATTTTACAATACGCAGACGACACACAGATTTACATAAGAGATCACCTACAAGCACGAATCGAGTTCTGTCTGTTTATCTTCATTAGGCTCGACTAGCAGCATGCTAACATGCTCACTGTGACAATGCTAACATGCTAACATGTCATCCTAGCTTAGCGTCTTAGCATGCTAACATTAGCTGATTAGCAGTAAACACAGAGCTGAGGCTGATGGGAATGTTGTTAGTTCTGCATAATGTCTGTAAGTAGACCTGCAACCGTTCATCGATCAGTTGTTTGACAAAAAATTAAGCTGTAACTATATTTAATAATTAATTAATAATTTTCAGTTTAAAGATAAAAATGATAAAATTATCTGTTTTTAATTTATACAATGTGTGTTTCATATCCCAGTAAACTGACTATTTGGGGGTTTTGGACTGTTGCTCAAACAAAACAAGACCTCATTTGGATTCTGGGAACCTTTTATGATGTTTTACAGACAAAGAGAAGATGATTGACAGATTAAACGATAATGAAAATAATCATTAGTCACATAATAAACATCTATCTCGGATGTTAAATATGGTCTGAACAATCTACCAAGAAGGACATTTTGGTATGGAAAATGTGTAAGAACCCTATTAGACAGAGCAGTGCTGTGAGCTAAATGCTAACATGCTCCCAGTGACAAGGCTAACATACAGATACCATGCTAACATTTGCTAATTAGCGGGAATGTAATGATGCATTCAATACAATCCACAATTTAACATTTATTATACATCATATATTTTCTTTATTAAATTAAAGAAACTTTTATTTCTGAGGTAGCGACACAATCGAATAAATACACAGCATTGAGCAGTTGTGTTGGTGAACTTAATTTACTTGAGTTAATTTAACTTATTCACTGGGTCTGACTTTAATTTAATCAGGTTGGTCCAACTGATTTTACAGTTACACTAATAAATGAAGTTGACTCAACAAAATCCTTAAAGAAATCACACAGAAACATGTTCCATGATTTTAATTTAGTGAATTCAAAGATGATCATTTGAGTGTAACTTACAATACAAACAAATACAAACAACAACAACAAACACAAACAAACATGCACTAGGATGAGGAACAAAAACCAACATCTGTTGATTTCATTCACAAAGCAATAATTAAATAAACATAAACACAACACTTATTAATTATTAACAGAATTCTAACTGTCTGAACAAAGTGCATAAAGTATTGGACATTGAAATATTGATCTGATGGTGGCACTGCTCCCTAAAATAAACCTTTTTAAGTTGTAAACATTATTATGGTGAGGAGAAAAACCCCTTTGATTGTTGAGGAAATGCTAATTCTCTGAAAATTTCAGAAGAAATTAATCATCATTGTTTAAAAAGACCGATGCAAACATTTGTTTTGATCCTGAGGGGAACCTGAACCACGTTTCATCACAACCCCCCCGCAGGCTGTGGCATTGGGGGGGGGGGTTAGACGCCGTTCTGTTCTTTGTTTTCTGGTTCAGAGAAAAGTTTTTTTTTTTCTTCTGTGAGTGTTTTATCAGCAGCACGGTGACATCATCAGCAGTAGCCACGCCCCCCTCTCAGAGCTGATCTGGAATTCTGGGGGTTTTCCTCCGCTCGGCCACTTCCAGGAAGTGACTGAAAACAGCCCGAGAGGAGGGGAGGGGGTAAAACGACACTGAGACACAGAGAGAGAGAGAGAGAGGAGGGTTAAAGACAAACAGCAGAGAAAGGAGAGAGAGAGAGAGAGAGAGAGAGAGGAGGGTTAAAGACA